GACCTACTGGAAACCTTTACAGGCTTTTTAATGAGAATAGAGAATGTTTTATCTGCAACTGTTCACCTTTAGTTGCAACCAACGGTATTTGACAGCATAAAATTGCCTGTGGCTGTGATAACTGATATAAATAAAATACAGTCTAAAATAAAATACTGACTTGAGCGTGTCATGACAAACTCTTTATTGGAAAATTGTGAAGAAACAGTCGAATATAGAGGGTCGAATATCATACTTCAACTTGTATAGCTACAGTAACATTGGTACATAGCATTGTGAAGACAAGCCTTTTCTTACCTTTCGCTTCAGCAGTCTTTTCCATGCTTTTCTACGCTTTCCCAGGTGAGGTTCTCTTTCCTCGGCAGTCTCCTCGAGAAAACGTTGTCGTCTTCGCTCCCTTGTTTTCGCTAGACGCTCAGCTTTCTTGTCGTTTCCTTGCCGGTCTTCATGGCTCCATATCCTTTCAATTGGTATTTTATACCATAATTGTTTGATAAAAGTTTTAATAAAACTAATTGCTTTTAAAGCTGCCACATGTTTTTGCAAATGTACAAAAAACTGTGGTGCAAAAAGCAAAATATTTTCTTGAAGTATCTGTCACTCTGTCAGTTAAAGTCGTCATTCGTCATACAACAACAAATTTTAAATTTGACCAATCGGTGTTTGCTATTCATGACAGTCTGCCATATTTTTGAGATCAGTGAGCATAACCACCCACGCCCAGTGACCCACGCCCGCGATATTTGATGAACGTCAGACTTCCCTAATGCTTTCATTTCCCCCGGGTGTAAATAGCCGGGGGGGGGGATTAGTACCCTCGCACAGCGCTTTGCGCCGCCGGCTCGGGATTAAATGAGACTTACCTGTAAGTTGAAGTTTGATTTGAATTCTATAATGTCATTAGTCAGGAATGAATTACTAACATGAGAAACATGTGCTCACTTTCCTAACCATATTTTAAAGTACCCAACTTGCTGATTCTCACACAGGAACGAAGGAGTAACGGGAGGAACAACTCTCCATAAGGGAGGGCATATTACTCCTTCGCTCCTGACTCATGACGTTATAGAATTACAGATAAGTCCCATTTCATTTCATTTCATTTTAAAATTCTATACATCATCAATCTTAAAGCTGTGAGGATCAGCAAGTTTCAAGAAGTGAAGGTGACAACAATTGCATCAATGTTTGATACACAAATTTTTGCTCTTTTTATTTACATAGCTGTATAGAATATATATGTCATTCTCAATTGTTGTCCGAGTTACTAAAGTGATTAAGTATACTGTTTCTAAAATTAGAACCAATTGGTTTATTATAATGTTTGGCAAATGTTCTGGCATTTGTCCAACCACCAGCTTTGAGGACGACATTAAGTGGCAAACCAGATAAAAATCCATAAGACGAAGATGCTGTTATGCTACTATGAGCCGAAAAATGTATGTCGATGCCTGAATCTTGGAGGAAACTTTTGACCCATCTACCAATTGTGGTATTGGTCACTAGTTTAACTTCTTTTCGGCCCTGTGAAAACTATTGCAGAACTGCAATAGTATTTTGGAGGTTCATATCTTCGGTTCAGTACATGCTACGTAGATGAAAATACCACCATTCGATTCAGCGAAATAATATCTCCTGATTCCTAGTGATAGTTTTAGTCAAAGACAAACATTATAGCGATTTATGACCTTTGAAGGGTCAAGAGGTATCATATTTCAACAAATTACATATTTGTTCGAAAAATGTAAACAATGTATCACTTTAGCCATACCTTTCACCGGACACAACTTCGGCCCCTTCAAACATGTCTTTTTTGTTGTAGTCTTGTTCGATTCACAATCGAAAACACTATTTACAGTGTTATCTTGAGGCTTGTAGCCTCAGTTTTGCATCTCTTATTTAGATATTTCAATCTGTTGCGATATAAGTGAAGTCAGCGGGATATTTTTTGACCGGAAATGCGATTTTGCAAAACTGCAACAGTATTTTGCAGGTTCATATCTTGTAGTGTATTTTGTATTTAATTTCTTTCGAGATGCTATCCTCATCAGCTATGCAGCTGGTTTTCATGAGGGGTGTCTATTTAGCTGTTAATAACATACATAAAGATATTACTCGACTGTGATTGGTTGATTTCAGTGCAGTTAATCCCAAACAGCAGTGCAATTTTCTGTAATCACAGTGCAATTTTGTAATCACAGTGCAAAAATCTGTGATCTGATTGATGGAAAAACATTGTGATGATTAAATCAACCAATCAGTTTAAAGCAATTTAGTTTAAAGAAGTAACGGTCACAGATTGCTTCAAAACAAAACAAACATGGCGCCCCGCTACACAAAGTAAAAGTTGCCTTCGCGTGGAAAATATGGTTTTTATGTTTATTTTTAAATGGAAAAGCATTTACCTTAAACAAGACTAACAAAAATTACATAGTTGAGTGGAATTTTCAAGCTGTTCGCGTTGTATAATGTGATATAACAAAGCCAGCAAAACTTTGCCAGTGGAATGTTCGCTGTAAACGCGTAAGTTAAAACTACAATTGTCTCGAACATTTTTATGTAAATTATTCATAAG